CTTATATTTGCTTAGAAACTGCATAGGTTTTCTTTTGATGTTTCCCCATAGCCTTGCATATATCTAGACTTACTAGGCTCCCTTGGTAGCTAGTGTCCTAGATGGTCTTTAATATACTGGAATAGAAGTTCTTTAAGGAGGACCACTGTTGTAATTCCATTAAACCTGTGCATGACCATATGAGCAGCTTTTCTTTTGGAGGGCACATGGGTAGCATTTGAACTGTGCACATCTTCATGCGATGAACAATTATATGATAGAGTAGTGCGATCCCGTTTATTCTTCGTTGTGGTCTTTGTGCGTCACACGTTATGGGTGCTGCGCCTGTGCATTGCCTGCAGCCGGGAAAAATTCATAGCTTTAATGGATTTTGACAAGAACGCCGCACCTCTCCCCCGCTATGGTATAAAGGACAGAGCGCCCACCATTTTCCCAGTCTTCTTTGGACCGCCGATTGCTTTGCCTCAAGCCATTCGTTACTCTCTCTACTCTATTGCATATTACCTTGTTCTTCTTGTTTGCTGATTCTCACAGTTCTTCTCTTGTTAGAAATCCTCTCCAACTTCAAATCCTTACCTTCCGTTAGAACAGATTTTCTCTTCCCCTTTTCCCCCTTCTCCTCGTCCCCACTCTGTATTTCATAACTTTCCTATCTTCTATAGTTCTTATTCTTCCATTCGCTATCCATTCTTCTTGCGTGCGGCTTTTCGAAAGTGCTCGAAGTGTGGGGCCAAAATGTCTCCTACGGACCCACATGAGCGATGCTCAGAGAAGGACATCGGACTGACAAATGTGGCCACTGTCAATCATTCACCAAACAAGCGCGCAAGAATCGAGAAAATCGGCTGAGGAAGATCCTTTGGGATCAGGCCCTCATTGCCTCTGACAAGCTTGCCGCCCAGGCCTCTTCTACAGGGCCACCCATGGTGTCCTCCTTTCGTCCACCATCCGAGGGGGCTGCTTCCAAGGAGACCACTCGCTCTTCCTCATTCCAAAAACAAAAGTAGAAGCGGAAGCACACTGGGCCTGAGGATCCGTTGACTACGAAAAAGTCTAAGAAGACTAAAGTTGACAAGGCCGAGCGTGGCCAGTGTAAGCTTGCCCAGGAGCCTCGCAGGGACTTGGGCTCGATCGCCCCATTGGTCCCAACCTCCAGTTTGTTCAGTGGTACCAACATGGAGTCTCTCCGTAGTGTTGCAAGCTCTTACTAAAGCTCCCTTCGAACCTTTAGCTATCACTGACTTATGCTTGCTGTCTTGGAAAATAGCTTTTCTTGTCACCATCACTTCAGCTAGGCGGGCGAGTGAACTATGTGCTTTTCGTGTTGACCCTCCTTACCGCAACTTTCATAAGGAGAAGGTCGTTCTCTGGACTGATCCTACATTCCTTCCTAAAGTCACTACACCCTTTCACGTCAATCAGGACATTGTTCTGCCAGCCTTCTTCCCTTCACCCTCATCACTGATAGAAAAATCTCTCCATTCACTTGATGTAAGGCACTGCTTGGCTTTCTATTGGTCCCGTACGGAGAACTTCAGAAAGACCAGATGCCTTTTTATTAAATACTCGAAACATGATAAAGGCTTGGTTGTTTCTTCCCAAAGACTCTCCAGATGGATCATCCAGACCATTGAATTGACATATCAGTTGTCAAAGCTAGAACTCCGTGTCATGCCCAAGGGTCATTCTACTAGAGCTGTGGTAGCTTCTTCAGCTTTTTCTGCTGGCATCCCATTGCCTTACTTCTGCAAGGCGGCAACATGGACAACCCATTGCACATTTACTAGACACTATAGACTTGATGTCCGTGCCAAACATGACTGCTCCTTTGGTCGTGCTGTCCTTTCTTCAATTCTTCACTGATGACACCATCCGGCCTCCGGGTTGGTAAGCTTACTAGTCATCCATAATGTGTGATGCACAGAGACCATGACAAAGAAAGGCAGGTTGCTTACCTGTAACTGTCGTTCTTCAAATGGTCATCTGTGCATTCACATAACCCACCCGCTGGCCCCACTCGGTGTCAATGCCTGGATTTGTGAAGGTTTTTTTCCCTTCTATGCAACCACTGAATATTTTATTTTCATTTTATTAGTATGTTCTTTTTTAAAATTCTCTTCACTGGTGTCGTCTGACACTGACCGCTTATCCATCAGGAGGCAATCGGATGGTCTCCATGAGACTGGGGAAAATGGCAGGCGCTCCGCCCTTTATACCATAGCGAGGGAGGGGTGCGGAGTTCCCGCCTAAATCCGTTAAAGCTTTGGATTTTTCCCAGCTGCAGGCACTGCGCAGGCACAGCACCCATAATGTGTGAATGCACAGATGACCACTCGAAGAATGACAATTACAGGTAAGCAACCTGCCTTTCTCTGGGACCTCTTGATGGCTTTTGATACCATTGACATGCTGTTTGTTCTGTTGTCCAAACCCAGCAAAGGTATGTTGTTAGTATAATGTTGAGGGTAGTATAACTACCCTCAACATTATAACTTTCTTGGTTTCTGAGTGGTTTGTTAACCGTGCCAGGAGCCCATCATTAGTTTTGGATGCCTCAGCAAGCTGCAGTCACATATTGGATATTCAGAAGTCACTTAGCACATGCTGACATGTACCACAAACTGCCATGGAGTAAATAATGCATGGTGGCTTCAGTGATCATGTGAACCTAGTTTCAGTGCAGGGGATACCTGGGGCAGCAGATGTATCCCAAGAAATCATAGGATCATGTCACAGAAAGGGGGAAACAAGCCCTTTCTGGTAAGTGTTCTCATACTTAGGCAGGTTGACTCCATGCCAAAGTGAGGCTAGAAATAACTTGAAATAAATGGCTGATTGGAAGCAGCCCTTCCCAAAGTTCTTGGAATGGTACTTCCCAAATGCTTCCTAACAAAAGCTGCCTTTACTGACCATTTTTGTGATCTCACAAAAAATTAAAGTCAAGCCATGGTCAATGCTAAATGTCTCACTGTGGGAGAGGGGGAAGGCCTTTTGCAGCTGTTCTCAAGTGCTGCTTTGGAACTTTGGGTGCCTGGGAAAGGCAGACACCTGCTAGTCCCTGGACGGGAGTGGCAAGCCTCTCTGCCATTCTTGCCAGGTGTGTCTCTGGTTGTTGACTCAACCCTGGGTTATTTGGTCGTTTGGGTTCAGGCAAAACAAGCCACTGTGAGTTGATTTAACCCTTCACCATGGTAGGGCAAGTTGGGATGGGTTTAGAAGCCAAGATCCCAAGACATCCTGAGAGCCAGTGTGGTGTAGTAGTTAAGAGTGTGGAACTGGGACTCAGACAATCTTGGTTCAAGTCCCCGCTCAGCCATGGAGCCAACTGGATGACTTTGGGCCAGTCACAGACTCTCAGTCCAACGTACTTCACAGGGTTGTTGTTGTGGGGATAAGATGGGGGAGGAGAATGATGTAAGTTGCCTTGAGCCCTTTGTAGGAAAAAGGATATAAATCCAAAAATAAATAAATAAAATGTGGAAAGAGTTCTTGTTTCAGATGACACATTATACTACTGTGACTAATAAACCACTATGACTTGATGTTATGCAGACCAAGTAAGCATTTGAGATTATTTTAGGCACCCATGCTATTTATTTGTAATCCGATATGGTACATTTTGCAAATCCTGATTAAAAGTTTATGTAAGTAGCTTTGACGTTTTATTACAGAAGACATGACCAAAAACTAGCAATGTGCAAATTGTCTTAAAAATGACCCTGTTTACTATTAATCCATTTGTGTGGGTGTAAGTTGCATTTAAACTCTGTATGTGTTCAGTAATGCTTGCTTGAATTAATCCTTTACTGCCACAGCTGTGCTTTAGACTACTATTGTACAGGTCAGGATCATATCCACAAATGCCAATCTAAGATTAACTTTTCTTATAAAGATGGAAGTATTGAGCATGTTATAAAGAAATATCTGAGTGTTGAGTCTATGGTAGCTATTGCATATTTGTATTATATTCCCAATAAATTGCAGTCTGGCCAAATTGTTCTGTGTAAAGGAGTAGAAACTTAAAATCTGGGATATTTAAATAGAATATCTCACTACTTACACAGTTCCGAGATATGTGGAAGTAAAGTAATTTCTTTCAGACTCAGAGATGAATTCCAGTTTGAAAATGTTATTGGGGAATATATTGCCATGGTGGGCAGGGCCAAATATAGTAGCATATTTGAATATAAAACTTTTACTGTCTTTAATTAAGCTTCAGGGGAGGCATTGTGACAGTTTAGAATTGGGGGTGGGGATGCACTGTACAAAATCTGGGAAACAACCAAATAATAGGTAGTCAGTGAAAGGGGATAGGTCCAGGAGGTGGGCCTATGGCCATTTGAGGAAGTGTGGGAAGGCAGAACTAGGACCCCTGATTTACAGTATGAGCAACAAATCCTCAAACTTCAGTCTTGTGTTTCTATGAATTGAACTGTTCTTGCATAGCTGAATAGAATGTAAATCCTTGAAACAAATTCTGAGTAATGGGTATTTCAGTTTTCTCCTTATGAAGTCCATTGCACCAGTATTTTTCTTTATGCCATGAAAGTTAAGAAAGTTGTGCTTGCTAAGTTGTTGCCCTTGGCTTTTCTTGTCTTTTTAAGTTTTTTTTTTTAAGAAGATACAATTTTGCAATTTAATTTTAATATGTTATGATCTGTGCGAAACATCATATACGTTTTTGAAGGATCACTTGTTTACATTTTATGAATTTTACATATTTTATTAATATCAGTATTTTAAAATGTCTTTAAATACATGAATTACATGCATTCATAATAAAATGCAGACTAGCTTTGAGATGGGGTTGAGAAATTATTTTAATTGTGGATAGCTTCTCTTTTTGAAGAGCATAAATCCAGATTAAATAAGACTGAATTATCTGGTTGTGAATTAGTTAATTTTTTTGTGTATTCCTTCCTTAATATTAACTTTGCTCTTATGAGTTAGAGGAGTTTTTTTTTTTTTTAATTCCAATTTTTGGATGTTTTCTCTTTCAGGATAACATTTTGCCATCTGCCTTTCCAGAGTAAATGGCTGTATGTGGGCACTGAAAGAGGAAATATACACATTGTCAATGTAGAGTCCTTCTCCCTCTCAGGCTACGTCATAATGTGGAATAAAGCCATTGAACTGTGAGTATGGTCTAGGTGAAAAAGGTTTGGTTTGGTTTGGTTTGTTCGGACACTATTCTTTCTATAAGTATGATCCCAGTTGACAGGATATACCATGTATAAATGCTTCAGAAATATATTGTTTTGGTAAAACATGACCACTGATTTGTCATCTATGTATATGTATGGTCTAAAATTATAATTTGTCTCAGGAGAAAAATCAAGAATGTATAAAAATGAAATTTCATCGAATGCTAGATCCTACTATATTGAATGGGGCTAGCTCCTAGGCAAGTGTTGATGTGCTTAGAGACTTAGTCATGCTTTATTTTATATAAAATCATAGTTTCAGCATACCTGCAATATAATTTATTAGAAATGCTATCTAATTTAGAGATGGTATAGAGATAGAGATTATGTACCTGTAGTACATAATGAACTGTCACATTTAAAAGTGCCATTTTAGGTATGGCTAGAATGGCAGTACATAGTAGGAGAGAGAGGAGGAGCACTCTAATAGTCCCTGGACAGCATCAGAATTGTGGGGTGGGAAGAAGTGGAAGTAGAATTTTCTTACCTGTGTATGGCTTCTAGCTAGTGTGAAAAGCTTCATGGCAGCTCTTCTCCCAAGGTCAGAGTTGCAGTCCAAGGTTAGGAGGAAGTAAGGGTCATGGGCTAGTGTCTGAAGAAAGAACCCATGGATCTCTTGGATCCATTGGTTTCTTAGCTTCCACCCCTACCCACAGCAAGGAAAGTACGTTAAACTCAGAAGTCCATCTAATAATGTTGTTTGGGAAGAATACGAGACATAAAAAGTTCTGTTATTACTTCTGTAGTTTAAAAGCGACTCTGTCCCACAAGACAATATAAATCCTATTGGATTGCATTCTTAGAAAATATATTTAAAACACATCTTCTGGATTACTTTTTCTGAGAAATAAAATGAAATAGTTCACATTTCCTATAATCTTCAATAAAATATAATCAGATGTTCAGTAATATGACTCACAGCTTTCTGTTTCCTTCTCATGTGGTTTTAAAGCTCTTCAGTAAGTGAAATTGTGAGAGTCAGTAGTTTATGTACCTAGAATTTGCTCATGTACGTCACTACCTAACACTAGACTTACTCACATGTAACTTGTATATGGATCCTTGCTGTGTTGAACTAGGAACATAATGTAGGGCATTATTCTGTTTAAACCCTGCATTTTGTCCTATCAGTTACATTGTGCATCTAGTCTCTAAATTTATGACCTGAGCCTGGTTGTTTGCAAAGAAGCCTCAGTGTGTAAGCGGTTGTTGACATGTAGGGCTCCATATGATTGGTATCCATCACACTGCCTAGCAGTCTTCCACTTGAGTGGATGGAAATAGTCCCATTTGTAATGTTGGAGTTAAGCTCAGAGTTTTGGAGAACTGCAATATCCATCCTTGTGCCAACTTGTCCGAAATGGCTTGGGAATTTATAGCTGCTCTAACAACCATTGACTTATCTCAGATTCTCTTTGTTCCAATATATGTGATAAGTTGTATTTTTGAGGATTTTCTGTACTGACAAATGGATGGTGCTGTTTCTTTGTGATTTTAACCATGCTTGGAAAATATTTTATTTGGGAAAACCTCATACAGGTTTTTTTTTTTAAATCCTCACATGCTAACTTGCTTTTATAAGTTTTTTAGCTGAGCTGTTTCTTCTATTGTTTCTGCTGTGTTATATTTTATTGCAAACTGCCTTCTAAAAGTGAGGAATAAATCCATATAATAAAATTATCTGTCCCTGGAACTTCCTGATTTCCTTCTCTTGTTGTGGACAGATTATTAGCTGGTTAGACTGAGATTAGTGACATCTGTGAATATCTGCAGAGGTCAGGAACATGTTATAATGGTTTCCCACAGATGTTTATGGTCTGGATGGTTTCCTGATGCCTTTTGGAGATTTTCCAGGGGATTCAGTTGGCAGTTCTGTCTCCAGCAACTTCGGTAATCTCTGAAATGGAGATATAAATCAGGTTGCTCTAAGTGAATGCACCTAGACGTACTGTCCTTCCTCACCTAGCCAGTTATCCTCAGGTTTCTGATCTAAGAGAGCAATGAAATGAACATAACAGCTAGAATGCAATTAGAGAAAACATGAGTCAGGTCCAGCTAAATGCAGTTATAAGTTACTCTCTGGAAGATGTAGCAGTGAATAATTTTTTCGTCTCTTCAGCCATCATACTTTTTTGAGTGGCTGGAGGCTTATTACACTCTGTCCAACAAGATGTAGCTCAACCCTCAGAAGTCTGGTATAACACATTTTCAAGATATTGTATCTATTTGAGAGGGACATTTGAGATATTTGAGGAGGTCAGTGTGGTGTAGTGGTTATCATGTTGGACTGGGGATCTGGAAACCACAGGTTCTAGTCCCTGCTCAGCCATAGAGCTGACTGGGTGACTCTAAGCTAGTCACAGACTTTCAGCCTTGCCTACTCACAGGATTGTTTTTGTGAGGATAAAATGGACAGCAGCATGATAAAGATGATGTAAACGGCCTTAAATTCCTTGAAAGGAAAAAAGGGCAGGATATAAATACAATAGAGAAATTTTGCAGATAAAATCATTTGTATCTGCTCCAACTTGGATGTCATGGTTATTTGGTATTAGTACAAAATTATTTTGGGAGTAGTGTAATCCTGATGATTCTGTTGGACCTCTTATTGGTTTTCAGTCAACCATGGAATATTTGTGGGAAGCTTCTCGCTTAGATGGATCTGGTGATGATTTTTGGATATGCATCTGTTTTCCTGGGCAGGTCCTAGAAGGCAGGCAGGGAGATGTCACTTGAGGCTGATGGCATACTAGGATTAGTTGTGTCTCCTATTCTTTTCATAACAACTCTGGGGGGTTGATATTGTGTCCTCTTTTTCTTATTTTCATCTGCTGATCCAGGGGAGCACTTGAAGGTCTAGGCATGGTTTTGGATGGGATATGGGGAAAACCCCAAGCCTTAATTCAGGTTAAAAAAAATACTGCTGATTAACCAGTCTGATGGTCTTGGAAGCTGTTCAGACTGTTTTGGACAAGATTACCCCCTGCCCCCCGCAACCCTCAGGATACTGAAGTTACAGGGGTACTGGAGCTTCAGGTACTTCTTAATCTGTGCTCCCATATGCCTGAATGGTAATGGTAGCCAGAAGTACACCCAGTCCCGCACTAAGAACAAGTTCCATTCCTGAGATCATCTTTAAGTCAAATCTGTCTGTATGTTAGATTCCCTATATAAAAAGCATATAAATCACTTAAGAAACACTTCCATATACACTAAAACATCTTAAGCACAATACAGTGCTTAATAATGATAATAATACAACAACAATATATTGTAATGTAATGATGATAATACAACAATCCTCCTTCCCTGAAGGAGATAAAAAGGACATCTACTTGGAGTAGGGCCTTCTCTGCAGTGGCACCCAGATTGTGGAATGCGCTCCCTGGAGAGGTTCACCTGGTGCCAGGTGAAAACCTTTTTATTTAATTGTTATTTTAAAAACTAGCGTTTTAATTAAGTTCAACAGTCGCTTTTTATTTAATTTATATTTCCTGGTTATTTGTTATTTGTTATTTATTATATTTATATTATTTGTTTTATTGTGTGTTGATTTTAATTATTGTAAGCCATCCTGAGATGCCATGCAAAAGGGGCGGCATACAAAATTTTTAAATAAATAAATAATAAAGTTACTACAGGTACTGGGGAGAGCATTTGTATGTGTGTAGGCATACAGTACAGTTCTTAAAGCAGCTTAGATAGAAAGACAGAAAAATATTTAAAAGATTATTAAAGGTTAACACTTCCTGAGCTAACATTAAGGCTAACATTACCTGGATGATAATGGAAATGGGATTTGTGTTGGAGAGTTGCTTGTGTTGCTGTGGGGGAATGGTTACCACTGGAGTCACTTTCTAGTTCCGACTTTGCCATTCGCTGTTTTTCCCCTCCTCCTCCTTTTTCTTCTTTCTTTCTTTCCTTCCTCTCCTTGCTGCCCACCACCCGGCAGTTGCTCATGGTGGAACTTCCGGGATTGCTTGTTCGTATGTAGGGTTTGTTCTTAACTCAGATATTCATAACTGGGGGTCTGCTTTACCTTATAGGTTAGCTAAACATTTCCCTGGAGAATCAATCATACATTCCTCAGCTATTTCCATGTTAGATTACTTTAAGGAACTGCCCATGGGTCTGCCCTTGAAAACTATTCAGACATTTCAGTTGATTTAGGATACAACTGCTAAGTTTTTGTCCAGCACAAGGAGAGCAGCTCACAATACACTGGAGCTGCTACTGCAAAAAAGGCAAACCCCATGAAGGGCATAATCAGAAACTGTATTGAACATAAGTTGCCAATACCATATTGCTATTGTGCAAAAATATGGTTATGGCTATCACACTTAAATAGGGTACATAGTTCTGGTCACCACATACTCTATGGGATATTGTAGAGTTTGAGAGTCCAGAAATGAGCAACCCAAACTATCAAGGGAGTGAAGCAGCTGCCCATTGAGGTAAAGCTTAGCTTAGGAGAAAAGAGTGAGTAAGACAAGAGATGATGAGAGATGATCACAATTATACATGGTATGGAGAAAGTAGAAAATGAGATGTTTTCTCCCACTCACAGTATTAGAACCCAAGTGAATGGAGAGAGACTAATGACAGATAAAAAGTGCTTAACCAAGTCGTAGTGAAACTGTGGAACTGACTACCGGTTTGGATTGCTTTAAAAGGATGTTATACAAATTGATGGATGGTAAGCCTATCAGTAGCTACTTCTACCTTTAATACCAGCAGCACTCTGCCAGTTGCTGGGGAACTTGAGTAAGAGGGTGCTATTACACTTACATCCAGTTTCAGAGTTTCTCACAGGCAGTTGAGTTAACAGGATGCTGGATTAAGGGAGCTCTTAGCCTTCTCCAGCATGACTCTTCTTATTGTTTTTATTTATTTATTTATTTTATTTATTAAGACATTTTTATGCCGCCCCA